AAAAAAAATAAAAGTTTTAGAGGTGGAGTCCTGTCGCTTCACGAATTGACTTAGTTCCAAAGTGATCTTTTGCTTTTTTACTAATTCACATTCTATTGATTGTAGAAATATGGAGGCTACCATCAAACATTATCAGATTAAAAAGAATGACTCAGGACAGTGGTACGTGGCTGAAAGACACCTCTTTCAATCAATCCCTGACTTGATCTGGTATCACCAGCACAATGCGGCAGGTAAGGCAGGAGCTTCAGGCTGGGAGAGTCAGGGAGCCTGGCCCCAGACAGGCAATGCATCTTTGGTCTCAGACACTTTAACAGGAGCAAATACCCCTGCAGAGATCTGTAAGAGCCTGAAATACAACTTGTGTTTTGAACATTTCTCCTCATTGATGCTTCTTTGTTTTTCTAGTCAAGGGAAAGAGGTAGGTTGATTTTTTACATTTCTGGCAGGTTAGGAAAAATGATAGCTGGCAGAGAAGCAAAAGGCAATGTAATCATCAATGCATTTGTTCTTGAAATTTACATAGGGCTAAGTGTAATGGCATTTCAAGTGCCCTCGATAATCATGCCCCCATAAATTTACTCTCTACTTCAGTCGTATAGAAAATTACCCTTAAATATCTCATTCTCTGTTCTTTCTGTTTGGAGAACACAAAAAGTTGTATAGGACACAGCCTTTCGCAGTTAAAATTTGACTTAAATAAAGCAGAAGCATTATTTAACCCCCTTCTTCAGGTGTTGTTTGCAATAGTTGCTAATTTTGCAAACTTATTATCTATGGAAAGATATAAGATTCCAGAAAGTTCCACCACAATTACAGTCACAGCTCTGGCCTTTAGCCCTCCCCCAACCTCTCCTGGACCACCTTGAACCCATAGGGGAATCTTCTTACCTCAATATTATAGAATTTGGAACCCATTGTAACTTTTCATATTATTTTGATTTCTTGCCATTATTTTAGATTTCTCTCATGAAAAGTTGTGTTGACAAAAAAAAAAAAATCCTTTTGGAAAGTGGCCACTTTTCCATTATACTGGTCTATATGTCAAGAGTAAATCCAAGGAAGTTTTTATCCATTTATGGGATGAGTCCACATGGATATTCCAGATGGTCTCTGGGAGTTTGGTTAGAGAGGAAGTAGCGGTGAGTCTGAGTGGGACCAGAGAGGACATATTCATGTGTAGAGACAGAAACCCTTAGAATCAGGAGATCAGTTCTGAGTTTTTTTCTTTATAGTCCTCTTTTCCTTCCCTTCAGAAAAAATTTGAGAAACAGAGTGGTTATGCTGGTGTGGTTAAAAAAAATACTAAGGTAGATCAGGATGTGCTGACATGAAGAGATGTTAGTGATAAGTTGTTTAGTAAAGAGAAAAAAAGTGCAAAACAGTACATGAGAATATAGTCCCACTTTTGTAAACAAAAATACATACATATGAGTGCATAGAAAAATTCTGTTAAAGTTTAGGTAAGAATTTTTAAACTGAAAAGATTATAACAGACTACAAACTTAATGTTTACTTTTGGGGAATGACACTCGGGGTAAGGGAAGCTTTTATTTTCTGCCTGTTGAGATTGCTTAGGGTTTGATATTTTTGTTACGATATACATAAATTATTCTTATAATGCATAAAAGATCACTTTTAAAAAGAAAAAACTGGATCAGGGGCTCCTGGGTGGCTCAGTCATTTGAGCATCTGCCTTCAGCTCAGGTGATGATCCTTGGGTCCTGGGATCCAGTCTGATGTCGGGCTCCCTGCTTAGCAGCAAGCTTGCTTCTCCCTCTCCCTCTGCTGCTCCCCCTGCTCCCTCTGTCTGTCAAATAAATAAATAAAATCTTTAAAAAAAAGAAAAAACTGATTCAAACAAAACAACAACAACAAAAAAGAAAAGCTTCCAACTATAGCTGCTATTTATTAGGGAGAAAAGAAAGTACAAAAGATATAACAAGAAAGAAGGATGCTAAGAGGAAGGGAAGGGGACCCAGAAATAGCGATATTTATTGAAGACTTACTTTGGGCCAGACCCTGTTCTGAGTGCTTTTATGTATATTTATTTATTTAATTTTCAGAATGATCCTATGAAGTAGGTGCTGTTGGTATCTCCATCCTACAGATGAAGGAACTGAGACATGAGTGGTACTCATGATTACACAGTTAATAAGTGTTTGTGCTGAGATTTGAACTCGAGGAATGTTTGAGACCTATTTAGAGCCATTGAACCCACTGGCTCTGGCGTCTGCACTCAATGACTGCTATAGCCTCCAGAAAGAGACAGATCAGATCATCGGAGGGTACTTTGGAGGGTCCAGTTTCAGAGGACGCTGTGAATCAGAGCCCATGACTATCTTGCCTACTTTTTGACTTCTGGTCAATTTAGTTCATGACACTTCATCTCTTTCCCAGAAGTAAGGACAATGCCAAGAGAGTGACAGACTTCTTTCTGTCAGAAAGATAGACTATCATTAAACCCCTGGTAGTATATCATAGAATAATAAATAAATCACAGAATAAAAATGTTTAGCAAATAAGAACTTTGAAAATTAGAAGACAGTGTTAGGGTCTTAAAGAAATTCCTTGTTATGTTCTTTATTGGGATCATGTGTTACAGAGTCCCAGCTCGATGAGGGCTCTAACCTCAACTAGGTCTTCTGAGTCATTGGTAAGTATCCTTTCCTGTTCTCTCTTCAAACTTCTACCATTCTCTTCAAGACCCCTTTTCCAGTATTATCCACTGCCCTCTCAGCAAACCTCTAGCTGTCTACTTCATTAAGAAAATTGAAGCCACCTGACATGAGCTCACTCAATCTTGTCTTCCTGCTGCCAAGCTCTCATCCTCACCTCACTCCTTCCAGTACTGGTAAGGCTGAGCCTATGCTCCTGTTCCCTCCACTCCCCTGCTGCTTGGACCATCCACCATCCACTCTTCTTTCCTCTCCTATATCTCGTCCATTTCTTCTTACCTTCTCCCTTAACCCTGCAAACATCCTTAAGAATCTCTTATTCAAAAAGCCAAAAAACAAAGCCCTCCCTTGGTCCTTTCTTCCTTTAGACATTGCTCTTCCAAGTCACACTTTTGGAAAAATGTGTCCACATCCATTGTCTCCACTTGGTCCATTTTCCATTTGCTTTTTAGGTGTCTGCAATCTGGCTTCTGCCTCCATTGCCCTGTGTTTTACCAGTGACCCCCATATTGACCTGTAGGGTCATGCTTTTTAGTTCTTATATTTTCAAGTCCTCTCTGCTATATTTGACATGTCACCCCTTGAAACTCCCTGCTTTCCAGATGTTTTGACACTGCCTTTTCTTGTGCTTGAATTCAGATCATTCCTTAAAGTTCTTCCCAATGGGTCTTACTTCTACTCTTCCCTTAAACATTGGTGTTCTGCAGGGATTTGTCCCCAGTCACTTCTCTCCTCACCCTAGACATTTCCCTTTGCAGAATTCTTCTGCCTGGTAGTCCCAGGCACTCTCCCTCTCTCACTCCCCCGCTTGTGTTCTCTCTCTCTGTCAAATAAATAAATAAAATCTTAAAAAAAAATAAAAGTTTTAGAGGTGGAGTCCTGTCGCTTCACGAATTGACTTAGTTCCAAAGTGATCTTTTGCTTTTTTACTAATTCACATTCTATTGATTGTAGAAATATGGAGGCTACCATCAAACATTATCAGATTAAAAAGAATGACTCAGGACAGTGGTACGTGGCTGAAAGACACCTCTTTCAATCAATCCCTGACTTGATCTGGTATCACCAGCACAATGCGGCAGGTAAGGCAGGAGCTTCAGGCTGGGAGAGTCAGGGAGCCTGGCCCCAGACAGGCAATGCATCTTTGGTCTCAGACACTTTAACAGGAGCAAATACCCCTGCAGAGATCTGTAAGAGCCTGAAATACAACTTGTGTTTTGAACATTTCTCCTCATTGATGCTTCTTTGTTTTTCTAGTCAAGGGAAAGAGGTAGGTTGATTTTTTACATTTCTGGCAGGTTAGGAAAAATGATAGCTGGCAGAGAAGCAAAAGGCAATGTAATCATCAATGCATTTGTTCTTGAAATTTACATAGGGCTAAGTGTAATGGCATTTCAAGTGCCCTCGATAATCATGCCCCCATAAATTTACTCTCTACTTCAGTCGTATAGAAAATTACCCTTAAATATCTCATTCTCTGTTCTTTCTGTTTGGAGAACACAAAAAGTTGTATAGGACACAGCCTTTCGCAGTTAAAATTTGACTTAAATAAAGCAGAAGCATTATTTAACCCCCTTCTTCAGGTGTTGTTTGCAATAGTTGCTAATTTTGCAAACTTATTATCTATGGAAAGATATAAGATTCCAGAAAGTTCCACCACAATTACAGTCACAGCTCTGGCCTTTAGCCCTCCCCCAACCTCTCCTGGACCACCTTGAACCCATAGGGGAATCTTCTTACCTCAATATTATAGAATTTGGAACCCATTGTAACTTTTCATATTATTTTGATTTCTTGCCATTATTTTAGATTTCTCTCATGAAAAGTTGTGTTGACAAAAAAAAAAAA